GAGCGCACGGCCCGGCCCCTTCCTTTCCTGATCTTGGAGAGGAGCCGGCACGTTGCGGGAGGATTACCGGAGATCCCCGAACAAAGGGAGAAACCTAGGAGATGGCAGCGAAGAGTGACCGAATTTTGAGCCCAGAAAGCACGGAATGCACAGTGCGGAAGCGATAGAAACGCAGAGACAGTCATAAAGTGGGTAGAAAGGATGGTGGCAGGTGTGGGAAAGAAGGAAGCAAAGAGGAATGGACGAGTAGTTGAGTTACAGATGGAGCTGGGAATCTGGAAACAGCCCAGCGAAGGTGAAGTGACTTGTCCAAATCCACACTCGGCCTTGGGCCGACTGGAGCTACAGAATTGTCAGGTTTTCCCGATTCTGAGCTGGTGCCTGTTTATTTTGGTGAGCGGAGGAGAGGTTAGCGGGCCAAGTTTCTTCCTCACTTGCCTTCTCTGGTTTCAGAGAGCTCAGAGAGCTTCGGGGAAAGTGGCAGCATCCTGATCAGATTTTTGTAAATCGTGAATAATAGTGTGATCATAATAAGTAGCTTGCATGGTTAGTGTATTTCACTTTATAAACTGCCTTATATCAAGAATTTTAATAATCTTCATAAACAAAGCAAACAAGGTTCAAAGGGTCTCGGAAACAACAGTCCCACTGCTCCATACCGAAGAAAACAATATCCATTTTATAGGTGAGGAAAATTGACCCAGAAAATTAGTATCAAGTCAGGCAATTACTATAAGAGTTGTTTTTGAAACTGAGATATTCCTATTCTAGATTCCTTATATCCCCACCCCTACTGCCTTACACTGCGTAAGAACGGTCAGTCTGGGTTTTTGGTTTTCAGTTTATCGTCGTAAGATCCCTTTCCAGGACAACACTTTCTTCCCCCAGTTCCTCTAGAAAACAGAACGCCTGACTCAGAATCCAGGCCAAGAGATTCTTGGGCTCTATTCTAGATCTCTTGAGTCGAAATCTAAGCGGGGGGCAGGAATCCACAGTAAACAAGCTCTTTACTGAATTCCAAAGTGTACATTTAGAGTATTTTCTGCAGCTCTTAGTATATACTAAATTTTACAGGAATTCAACCAGTGAAAACTAGAGGAAAATTACCCTTTTTAGTCCAGAACTTTACAAGTTCACCATTTTGGAAAATCACATAATGATTGGCTATGTGGCTCATGGTATTTGGTAGTCAATACAACACGCTTCTGACTGCGACATTCACCATGAGTCTAACATATGTATACAAGCATCTGAGTACTACATGATGTCACGCTAGTCATGCAAGAGTATTTACATACTGAAATAGAGTTGTCCTTCAGTATCCATGGGGGATAGGTTCTTGGACTCTCATTGATACCAATATGCATAGAATCCCAAATCCCTTATAACAATGGTGTAGTATTTGCATATAACCAATACATATCCTCCTGTGTACTTTAAATCATGTCTAGATTACTTATAATACCTAATATGATGTAAACAGTTATTGTCCTGTATTGTTTAGGGAATAATGACAAAACAGTTTGCATATTCAGTACAGATACAACCATTCTTTTTTTTCCTCCACATATTTTCGATTTGTGGTTGGTTGAATCTGAGGACGGAGAGCCCAGTGTTATGGAGGGCTGAATGTACACATTATTTAATTATAATTACTTCTCTTTCATTTATCCTCTACATTACTAAGAAATTATGCTAACTTAAAAATGTGTGTAAGTAAAGCGTATTATCTATGAATTTCAAGATAGCAACATGGACATTATAAAAAAGGTGGTGGTGGGCTTGAACAGAGAACCATTGATCCAGATGATCTTATACACACTGACGTTTAATTAAACTGCAGTCTAACCTCAAGATTTGTTAATCATCTTTTGCAGTAATCCCAGTAGTTTGGGAGGCCTAGGCAGGAGGATCACTTGAGGCCAGGAATTTGAGACCAGCCTGGGCAACATACTGAGACCCCCGTATCCACAAAAAAATTGTTTTAAATGATTTTATTATGCCCAGGGACCAAAACATTTCTCAGTAGGATACCTTATACTTTCAACTTTATAATGGAAGATAGTGAGAAAATCAGATTTCCTTGTCAACTTGTTGCATCACAGCTGCTATAATCAAGATCCCATGAGTTGATCTGTCTTGGAAACAGCCTTCTGCAGTTCCTAGGATTTTTCTAGTACTGTGATTAGTATGTAGCTTAACATGATCAGGAATGAAATAAAGAGCGAAGGGAATTAAGTTCTATATCAAATGTGGTGTAGAAGATAGTTATTATATCACAACGTGATCACAGCACTGTGCTATATACCCTTTGCATATGTTCTTACCTCCTCTGCTTACTAGGTACTTATTATCATTCTCATTCTCAGAGTAGGAAATTGAAGCTAAGTACCCAATTGTATACAGTTAGTAAATAGATCTGGGTCTATCTGACTTTAAAGGCTATACTGTTTCCAGGGCACAATGCTGGCAATCTGAAACTTTTTTTTTTTTTTTTTTGAGTTGGAGTCTCACTCCGTCGCCCAGACTGGAGTGCAGTGTCACGCTCTGGGCCACCGCAGCCTCGACCTGCTGGGCTCTGGCGATCCTTCCGCCTCAGCCTTCTGCCTCAGGTAGCTGGAACTACAGGCGTGCGCTACCACACCCGGCTAATTTTTGATTTATTGAAGAGATGAGGTCTCGTCAAGTTGCCCAGGCGGGTCTCGAACCTGCAGGCTCAGGCAATCCACTCACCTCAGCCTCCCAAAGTGCGGGATTACAGGCTGAGCCCAAAACCATAATTGATCTGTCTTTTCTTTAGATTATAAGCTTCTTGTAGTACCCCCCAAACAACCTCACCTGCAAACAAACACACACATAGACACACACACAAAGTAAAAATTACCCTCAAATCCCAAACTCTGAGAATTATTGTCAATATCCTTCTGTACACACATAGCAAATGTTACATATAATATGTATTTTAAAACACAAATGGGATAATGCACACAGTGTTTTTGAACCCTGTTTGCTCAATAACATAAAGTGGACCTTTTCTATCAATAAAGATCTTTGTATCCATTTTTAACAAGTATTCCATTATACACAATAATGTATTTACTCTGTGCTCTAGTGGATCTCTTTTTTGCATATGTTAAGTAAAAATTTTTCATATGTTTGTAAAGTTATAAGAATATTCAATTCTGTTCTAAAGGACAGGGAATAAAGAATATGTGAAACTCACGTGTTAAGTATAATAGGTAAACAAGTACTGGGGGGGACACAAAAAATGCAGAATTATATACTTTGGAGGGTTGGCCCTCAAATTTTTTCCTCCAGATCAAATAGTCGGCCAAGGCTTTTACCTGAAAGTTTTGAGAAGGTTGCATCATGATTTGCAGGAGAAATGTCCCAAGTTGTGGCAAACAGATGACTGGTTCTCCCACCATGACAACACACCTGCCCACACCCTGCTGAGTGTTCAGCAGTTTTTGACCAAAAATGGTATGACTCCTGTGCCCTACCCTCCTTAGTCACCTGACCCCCCCCAACAACATTTTTTTTGTTTTCCTGGATGAAAATAGTCCTCAAAGGGAAACATTTTGCTGATGTGAAAGAGGTGAAACAAAATAATGGCACAAGCACTAAAAGCCATCAAAATGTACAAGTTCAAAAACTGTTTTGAGCAGTGGAGAAAGTGTCTTGATAGGTATACTTCATCAAATGGAGAGTACTCTGAAGTGAATGAATTTTAAACATGTAAGAATACACAATTTTAAAATAAGTTCTGGGGGTTTTTTGGGTTCCCTTCATAGCTTGTGAAATAGGCAGAATTCTTAAGATGTGTTAAATATATGTAGGATACTATAAGACATGACAAAGAGAATGAATGGGATATATGTAAAAAGTCTGGAAAAAAGGAGTGTTACTAACAAACGGAACAGGATGGGAAAGGTCAAGTTGTAAGGTACAGATAGATGATGCCATCTTGAGGCTATTTACATCATCCCTAAAATGACCATTCATAAGTAACACCCATTCTCACCTCACATATGTTCTGCCCAAGAAACATTAAAAACATGGCCCTCAGCAGGCCATTAACCAGCTATTGTTGCCCCTGCACATTTATGACCGAGCAAACATATGTTAGCTCCAATCACTGTGGAACTCCCTTTTCAATTTCACCTGTAGTCCTCATGACCAAACTATCAGAGGTGAAGGCTGATGTAGCAGACAGGGCATAACAACACGGCGTAAGACAGGATTCAGGTAAAACGCCCTCCCTCTTCTCTTTGATCCTACCCTAAATGTGTTAATAATCTTCGCTGTGTGTCTTTCCAACTTACATCTTTTTAAAAGTGATAAACCATGTGATATAGCCTCTTAATTTGGGTTGTGAGACATCTAGGACAGCCTCTTAATTTGGGTTGTGAGACATCTAGGACAGCCTCTTAATTTGGGTTGTGAGACATCTAGGATAGCCTGATTTGAAAGTACCATTGCATCGAGGTAGTTTCCTACATGACACGGTTTTAAGTG